AGCAGAGATGTTTCTCTGGGATCCTGAAAGAGAGAACTCAGCTATTCTCTCATTGATGATCTGAGATTAAGAGAGAAAGAAAGCTCGTTACTTCCCTAAACTCACACACACACAAAATAGTACCACAGAACCAATCAGCTCATTCTTCTCCCACACTTGATATGAAAGAGATGTCCAGGCTATCATATCTACCTGAACTTGACATTTGCTTAGAGCAACTGAAAGACAGCCAAGTACTTGCTTTGATTCATTCACACACCCACCTTTTGCCAGTATCAACTCCAAGCAGGCACTAATCCTTTGTAGGTATGCTCACCATTTTTTAAAAGCTGGGCTTTAAAAGATTTAAATATCAGCCGTCACTTCTTCTCAGCCCCTGAATCTGTTAACTCAGCTCTGATATTACCAGGTAGGTGGACAGTGGCACTTGGATCATGACCATGTGATCTAACATGTTTTTATAGTCAATTATATTTTTCCTTCTTTTAAAAAAAAAGGTACTCTAGGGCTGGGTATGTGGCTCAAGTGGTAGCGTGCTCGCCTGGCATGTGTGCGACCTGGGTTCAATTCTCAGCACCACATATAAACAAAGCTGTTGTGTCCGCTGAAAACTAAAATAAATAAATATATTTTTTTTTTTTTTAAAAAAGGTACTCTATAAAGGAAAGCAAATTGCCAGTCACTGCTCATCATTACACAGCAGACCCACTATCTACTGCTCTCAAAATTCAAAAATTCAAAGACAACAGAGATGAGAGCCAACCAGATTCCTAAATTCACTGACAGGCAGAGTGACTCGCTCCTTATTGGAGGTAAGAATCCAACCTGCCCAGGATGCTATGCTACCTATGAGAAGCACGAGGAGCACCGTCACTTCCACCTAGCAAGGGCTGACGCCGAACTTCAGGGGCTGCTCTGGTAAGCTGCAGCGGACATGCTGAATCCTTAGGAGTCAATGTGCCACCATGGGCTCATCAGTAAAAATCTTTCCCACTTTAAAAATTTAAGTGTAGTAAGTGTGGTTTCTTGAACATTGAGATGTTCTAAATATTCCTTCCATGCTCCAAAGGACGGTTCAAAATGACCCACTGTCTGCTACTTCAAAGCACACAGTGGAGGGCCTCATCCCAAGAACTACTTGCAGCTCATGGCATTCTCCTCCACTGACTTCCCCTCTGCCCGTGACGGCAGGCTTTGTGATCAGCTCCAGCTGGTTCAACTCTCAACTCTACCTCACACCCACCACCTAAGTGATGGGAAGCAAGTTATGTAACCTCTTTGAGCCTGTCCCATACAAAACACTCCTTAGTAGTAGTCCTTGTGTAATTAGCTATACTCATGACATTTCAAAGTACTATTCTGACAATGAAATTCACATCTCTGATTTCAGCTTTCAAAATTACTTTCAGTCAAAAAACTGTGAGGTCCAGGGGTGGTAGCAAACACCTGTAATCTTAGCTAGCCAGGAGCCAAGGCAGGAAGATCACAAGTTCCAGGCCAGCCTGGAAAATTTAGTGAGGCTATGTCTCAAAATAAGAAATTAAAAGGGCTGAAATGTAGCTAAGTGGTAGAGTGCCCCTGAGTTTAATCCTCTGTTTTGAGGGTAAAAATTAAGACTAGCATAATTTGCTGGCTACTTTTTCCAATTAAAAAGGTAATCAAAATCTGTTCTGAAATAGTTCTAAGCTCTTATTTATTGACTGATACTGGGGATTGAACCCAGGGGCACTTAACCACTGAGCCACATCCCCAGTCCTTTTTAATATTTTTATTTAAAGATAGGATCTCGCTGAGTTGCTAAGGCCAGCTTTGAATTCATGATCCTCCTGCCTCAACCTCCGAAGCCACTAGGATTCCAGGTGTGCACAACTGTGCCAGTCTAAGCTCTTCTTTAACATTACATATTATAAAAAGCTTATTAGCACAGTGTAGACCACTTGAAATAAATCAATAAGTCACTTGAAATTTCCTAAATGTTCACAAGTTACCTTGACGAGGGAGATCTGAAGATTGATTGTCTTTCCATTCTTGAAAAGATTCTGCAATTTTCTGCTATGTAGAATGTTATCTATATAGGCCCAAAGCCTTTCAACAACATCTTCTGTCAGTTCAAGTTTTTTCTTGTAAAATGCAACCAATGACTGTCTTGCCCAATCAAGTAAAACCTGAATTTGAAGGAAACATACTCTTATATAAATGAATTTCTTCTACAAGAGAAAAAGATGTTGAACACTCTGGGAACACCCAACCAAATCCAATTGCAAGAAGAACACTCTCCTGGAAGGTTCACCTGTGGTAAAATCACATCATGTCAACACCAGGGCATCTTAAAAATTTACTTTTAGAAGAATAAAAAGGGCCAGGCCTGGTGGCTCATGCCTGTCATCCCATCAACTAGGGTGCTAAGGCAAGAAGATCCCAAATTTGAAGACAGTTTCAAAACAATACCAAAAAAAAAAAAAAAAAAAAGGATTTGAAGATGTAGCTCAGTGTTAAAGTGCACTTGGGTTCAATACCCCAAAAAGGAAAAGAAAGGGGAAAAATAGCCAACTTTGTCTTCATCTGGGGCCAATTAAAAATTCCAGGAGAAATGCTAACATCTTATCCTCTTTCCCATGCTGTGCTGAGTTTTAAGAGGTAGAAGCTCGACTGCTCGGAAGGTGGCCACAAGTGAATCACATACACAAAGCAAAGGCAAAAAGAGTCAGAACCCTGGGGTCTGTGTGGTGCTTCCCCAGCCCACCTTCAGCGCAGCCAGGAGACAGTGGGTGTGGACTGATGCACAGGGCTGGACAAGAGGGGATGCACACATGTGCCCTTTATGACTGTCCATGTGAGAGCTGTGAGAAGTGGTGAGGCCTCTGTTCSGAGTGCCAGAAATCCCAGAGCTGCCAGGAATAGTAGGAAGAGGGGCACAAGCCAAAAGGGGAAAACTCTCAAGGTAAGGACAGTGAAGATTCTGATCACACAACCTGTCAGGCTACCCATATCTGACCCTGAGCAGCACCAGCCAGGCAACCACCAAACTGTGAGGATGACTCTATGTATAACCAGGTGAGGACAGGACAGGTATTCTACAGACTTCCCCTGAGCACATCCACAACATGATCCATGTCCGATGTCTTATGCTGCCTCCTTTAATACCAGTATCAGGATGTGTGTCAGTCCAATCTCATGAGTCTTTAGTCTGCCATCCTACTGTTATCCCATTTTTAGCCAAATAAGCTTGAGCAAAGAGCAATGTCCGTGGGACCAGCCTATTTCTAGCATGGCTTTCTCCACACACCCTACAATACTGGGGATTAGACCCAATGCTAGGCAAGTGGTCTACCACTAATCTACCCCTAATCTCAACCCCTTCTCTGCACAGATTAATACTAACACTTTTCCATTTCCCAACCTTCAACCTGAAAGAAATCAGGAAGATCTGACTACTTTTTTCACTGACATTACCTTTAATCAATCTCCAACAAAGTTTCCTTCCCAATTTTTCTAATCTTTTTTTCTTTTAAATAAATACCTATATGCAATTTGTACAGTGATTATTTTAAATCATAAAAATATAAGTGTCACATTAAACTTACTTGTTCTTTATTTGGAAGGAAGCACTGGTGGGAAACCCAAGCAAAGTGAGCAAGTTTTAGTTTATCTTCCCAGGAAGTCGTCTTGCTCTTAAGCTTCAGGGAAATGCCAGAATATACAGCAGCCATTGCCACACGTTATCTATAATAAAAACAACAGAAAGTTGTATTACAACAAGATCAAACTTAACAGGCACCAGAAAAGGAACAGCAGGAGTCTTATTACGTACTATTAAACATTTTAACAAATTAAAACACATCAATGACAAATTTCCTAGGGAAATTCAGACAAAAGTGTGCAGAAGACGTGTTACAAATATTTCTGCTGTGAACACACTCCCAGAGGTAAGTGTGCAAGCACTCAACAAGGCAAAACCAAATGACTGGAATGGAAAGAATCATCAACTCTTCACATAACCTCTAAAGTGTACTATGTATCACCTGTTAGGATAAATTCTGTTAAGCAGTGCAAAGAAATAAATATGCAATATAGTATTAGAAAAATATATTTCTCCAAGGAAAAGAGAGAGCATTAACTCATCCCAAGAGAAACACTGTTATATCTAATGCAACAGTAACTCCCCACTGTAAAGTCAGTATTCACAAAGAAATTTACACACCCCACACACCCCCACATACACACCTGCAGAGAAGACTACAACAGATACATCCACAATTAATACAAAACTGAGGCAAGCAGCTTTAGATTTCTTAAGTCATAAGTAAAATGTTAAGTTATTTTCATCTCAAAAAACCAGCAATTTAGCTTAAGAGAAAAACTTTTCTGATACACCACATAGAAGTAGTTATCGAAAATAAAAACAAAATAGACTAACTCAAGAACTGAAAAAACATCACAGTGATTTTTTTATCTTTCGGTCAAACCAAAGGAACCTCTACCTTGAGGACTGCTGCAATTTATCCTGTAAGCAACTGCAGCCACCTGGCAGGGGCATCCCTCCCAGGGGGCGTGGCCACCTCCAAGCCCCCAAGCTGGCCCAGAACCACCGCGGAGGAGAGCAGGTGAGGCTCAGCTCAGGTGGGTTCTCCCTCTGGTGGGGCCCAGCCCTGAGCGAAGACTCAAATGGGGGAAAGGGGCTCATCCCTTGGGGGGAATTCAACAGGGCGGGAGGGGTACGCCAGCCCTTGGTTAGAAGCAAGGCTTATCGCTTCGCTGTGGGGATCCCTGGGGGTGGGGGGCTCATTCCAGGAAGGAAATTCATTTCTTGGGGGTGGTTCATTCCTTGGGGAGGTATGGAGGGGGGTTGTTATCCCTTGGGGGGGCCCATTCTTGGGAGGGTCCATCCCTTGGGAGTGTCATCACAGGCAGGGCTCGCCCCGTGGGCGGGGGCTCATCCCGTGGGGGCCTCGTCCCGGGGCGGTCCATCCTTTGGGGGTATTACCGCGGGCGGGGCTCCCTCAGCCCAGCCGTTCCCACCCGCAGGGCCAGTTCAGGTCAAGCACGCCGGCCGTGAGGCACTCACCTGGCCACTCAGCCGCTCCGCGCCCCGTGCACTGAGGGCGCTTCCGGCCGACGCTGACGCGACGGCGACGGCGCGGGGCGGGGCGAGCTGGCGCGCAGACATCGCCAGCCGAGCGCCGAGTGCGCCCTGGCCGCGGCGTCGGCGTCGGCGGCCCAGCCCGGCGCTCCCGCTCCGTCTGGCGGTCATGGGGCGGCCGCGCAGAGCCGCGGGCGCGGCGGGGCGCGGGGCGCGGGGCCCGGGCTAGCGGCGGCGGAGCGAGGCGCTGCGGCGGAGGCGGCCGGTCGCGGGCGGCGGGGCAGCCGCGGCCGCCTGGCATGCTCAGTGAGCGCGGGCGGGGGGCGGGCTCCCGGGGCGGCACCTGCGCGGCCGGGTCCCCGCGGCGGGGGCCGCACGTGGCGGCGGGGCGCCTGCGCGGCGAGGGCGGCGGGCACCGGGGCGCGGCGGGAGGCGGCTGCGCGCTGGGCCGCGCTCGGCCGGCGGAAGTGGGCGGCGGCGCGGACCTCGCGGGCGCGGAGGTTCCGGCGGCGGGAGGTGAGTCCCGGGGCGGGCGAGGGCCGTGGCCACCGCGCTTGGCTGGCGACACGTGCGCGGGGCAGGGGCGCGRACCCGTGGGCCAGCTGTGGCCACGCTCAACGCCGGGAAGCCCGGGGAAGCCCTGGCAGCGGACGGAGCCCGGGGACCCAAGGACCCAGATTGCAACCTTGTAGCCGGCTACCTGTGGTGTAGCCTTTCCCAGTCCTGGTTTCCTTCTCTGTAAGCCAGGACGGTAACTCGCCTGGACCTTTTCGAAGGTGTCCACACCAGGGTGCAGCCTGGCGTGCAGAAAGCACTCTTAGGAGCTGCTGTGACTTTCTTTTGGGCTAAGTACCTTCTAGGTTCCCGGTAGGCCTAATTTTCTTGTGTTGAATGTTATGCATGTTGACTTTCTTTTTTCTGTTTATTATAAAGCCTTTCTGCCTTAAACGTCAGTGTTTATCCAGGACACCAAATGTGGGCTTGCTTGAGCGTTCTTCCTTGCCATCAAAGATTGGGTTAGGGTACCTCAGGAAGGCCTTGTTCCTGCCCTGTCCCTGCTTCTAACTGTGAGGTTTGGGTGTGGTCTGTCACTGTGAAGTTAGGTAGAGGCCTCATCTGACTACTTGGTAGCTGATCTCATTTTTGTTTCTGTAGTCAATGTATTTCTATGTATGAAAGACAGCTCAGAAGAAAGTCATTTTTTCTTGATTGGTGTTAGCTGAGAGGGGCCTAGGAGTCAGTTGTTAAGCTAGTACTATTCAGTGCACAGTACTGGCTGTCACATTCCAGCCCCTTCCTCTAGCCATCAGCATCCCCTGTGGGATTGTGCTTCTCTCTCTCTCTCTCTCTCTCTCTCTCTCTCTCTCTCTCTCTCTCAGCAAGCGTCTGGTGTGCAATTTTCGTTCTTGCTCCCCCAGGAAGCCCATGGCCCCATGTGAGATCTGTGGAGCTGCAGGGTCCTGCAGAGAATTGGGGCCCAGATCCTGCAGCCAGGTAGCCCCAGTTCCCACGTAGAAACTGTGTGACCTTGGGCAAATTTTATGACTTCTGGGGGCCTCAGCTTTCCATCTGAAAAAGATTGCCTGCCTCTTAGACTTGTTGCAAGCTTAGAGGAGACACTGAAGCACCAGTGCTTTGTTATCAGTAGGTGTGAGCTCCTAATGGTGGTGTAGGAGACACTCAGTGGCATGGTGTTCCTGGGTTCTGTGGGTAGAGAGAAGAGGTGGCTAGGTTCAGTTATACACCTCAGTAGGACTTAACTAAACTTGATTAGAGTGCCAGTGTGAGGGTGCCTAGAACCTCTGGAATGGGGAGGTGTGTGGGCTCCTCCTAGATATTAAGGGTCTGTCCATGTGGGTAGATCCTGAAATGACTCAGTCAGAACGGGATTTCTTATTCTCCGCAGCAGTGGAAGCAGTAGAGGTTTTTAAGCCTCACATTAACCTTTCAGGAAGGTGGTACCTAGCTATTTCTTGGCCTTGGTTTGGAAGTGGGAAAGACCATGATTACTTGTTCTGGTAACTTTGCATCTATCTAGAGTCTGAAAGGAAATGATGGCTTCCATAGATGGGCTTCCAAAACCATCTGGAAGTGTAAAGAGCACTGACAGAAGGCACAGAGCAGCTGCTGGGCTATCCAGGCAGCTTCCCCCTGAAGAGTGCATTCTGGCATGTCTGATGACTGCCCATAGAAGTCTCCCTCCCAAGAGGATGCCACCCCAGCTTGAGGGCTGTCCTGCACGGTACCTAGGTCACCATCCTGAAAGACAGGGCACTGTATAAGAAAGATGATCTAGGTCGGATAGTTCTTCTGTCTTACCAAATCGGTTGTGTGAAGGAGAAACCAGGAAGGGTTTAGCAACTATTGCTCAGTGCCTCATAGTGCAAATGTCAGGTGCCACTGGGAAAAGCCTGTGCAGATAGGGGGCAGGGAGCAGTACCATAAGTGATTAGTGGAAAAAGTGCCATCCACCTGCATTGGTTGATGGCTTGGGGCAAGATTTCCAGTAAGAGCATCAGGTGGATTCAGGAAGTTTCTGTAGTAAATGAGTTGGTGCTTGTGAAGGTGAGGTGCTCTGAAAAGTGGAATTTGACGTTCAGAGTGGTTTAACTGGTCATGGTTACTGGTATTTGAGATATATGCAAATGCGTAGAGTAAAAGTTTTTCATTAATTAGCATGTTGTCATAAGTATTTTTAAATACGTGTAAACTGATAAATTARAGATTAAAATGAAGCATTTATCCTTCATCTATAATGCATACAGCTCTTACAGCTGTTAATTTCCATATTTTAAGATGACTAAAAAGATTTCTTTCCACTTCCCATTTGTAAGAGTGAGGCAGACTGAGCTACCTTTTGGTTGGGCATCCTTCCTTCCTTCCTGTTTAAACGGGTTGAAGTGTCTTACTGATCCTGTGATATTTGCAGTGGTAAAGATAGCTCTGTCTTTACAATCAAAATGCCAACTTAGGGACAGTTTGTGATTAGAAGTGTCATGAGCCAGCATTTTCAGCTCAGGTGCGATGCTTCTGTTTCACTGAGTGCATGCATCTGGAACTCCTTGGTCTGCACGTGTGGCCGCTAGAGTTTGGACACAGCTCCTCAGGTGCAGTGGCCACACATGCTCAGAACCTGCACGGCTGGTGTCTCCCGTGACAACCTGTGTGGACCAAGGATGGACACCTGAGGACTGTTCTGTTCCAGGCTCACTCATGTGGATGTCCTAATGTCACTAAGGCATCTGAAACCTCATGTGCCGCATTTAATTCAACCTTGGGAGCAGTGGTGAGCACCATGTGTCCTGCCTGCAGTGGTAACAGCACACACCAGCATTTCATCTGTGGCAGACATAGCCAGAGGTGTATAAATGCCCTGTGTGGACATCACCATCTGCCATGGTAACGAGGCTGTGTACGTGTCAGCTTTTCTGTGTTGTAGAGTCAGTACTTGAGGAGGAATAAAATATATGTGGCCTTTTCATTTTATAGAAATCACAAAAGACCACAAGCTAAAGGGAACCATCAGGAATTTCCGGCAAAAGCTGGACAGTGCTCCATTAATTATTCTCCAAAGGTGAGAAGAACTCTCCTCAGGGTGCTCCACCTGCTTGGAGAGAGGGAGGGCAGGAACCCCTGGGGTGAGATGAAGGTGGAGCTGTTGTTTACTCTGGCAGTGTCCAGGAGTGATCTGGGTGGGAGTGCCCCTCCCAGTGGAGAAGGATCTGTGCTGTGGGCAGGGAGCAGGGCAGGAAGTGAGGGAGGGGGAAGGGAGCCTGAAGGCCAGGCCTCTTGCTCTCCAGGAGTGCTGGGTAAGGAGGATCTGAAGGTAAGACTCAGTCTTGCATCTGCATCATCCACATGGAAGTGTCTTGCTAGCCTCTTGCTCAGGAGGGTGGCCTGTCTAAAGACTGAGTCTCATGAGGGTGGTGTGATGCTGGGAACATGAAGAGAGTCTGAGGGAGGAAATGCGCCCAGCACAGTCCTGTCAGCCACAAGCCCACCAGGGACAACACAGTGCTGAGAGGCAACTTGGGTTGGCCAAGAGTCAGGGAGTCAAGGTCATGGTCAGGTGGGACCATCAGGCCAGGCGAGGAGACTTGCGACTGTTGAAAGCAGCCAGGGTGGGGTGCAGAGCATTGTGGTGGTCCCAACTACCCGCGGTTTCTGGTGGCATCTGCTGTGGTTCTCTGCCTTTGCCTGTGGACACATTGGGCAGGAGCACAGCTTATATAGCTCAGGTGTGGCTGTCAGCTGGGCAAAAGGGTCTGGGGAAGCCAGTGTGGTTGTGGGATTAGCCTTGCTCAGCGAGCAGGGCCGGCTCCTTACTCTCAGTTCTAGTGGTGTTTCTCAGCCAGGTGAACACACTTATCTAACCATCAGTGCAGCACTCGGTTTTGAGGTCCCACCTAGAATGACCTTTTGACCACTTAGTGGAGAACTAGTGTTAAGCACCTCATGGGCCCTTGACCTCTCATTCAGCCAAAGTACAAAGCGATTTCTCATCTGTTTTAAGCATAAATTTACAGTGGGAAAAATATATTTACTCAGCAACAACAGAAATTACACCCACTAACCATTGGTCAGAGACTCCTGGGAACTGAGCCAAGGGTTTATTCTGAACTACCTTGCTCAGACTGCCGCCTTGTGGAGGATGGGCCTCCATGTGACAGCTTTGTGTGTTTTAGGGACTACATGATGTTCAGCTGGGACATGGTGGCCTGGGGGTGCCTCCTAGACCTCCTCTGTCAGCCACTCACATGTGGACCAGGTGGGAGGGGTTGGCATGCAGTGTGTGGCCAAGCCTGAGGCCCATCATGGGCAGGAGCCAGGGTTTCAGGATTCTGGCCCACATCTCCAAAGTGGTCGCCCAGAGCCACCCGTTGCTTCAGTTGAGGTCATCATGCTGGGAGTCTTGGGGCAACATGGAATGTAGGTGGAGCAATAGGAGAAAAACACACTGTCTGAACCTTCTTTCTGATTTCTAGAAATACAAACCACATAAAGAGAAAGGTGTTTGACATATATTTTGCCTTTAAGGATTATAGTTGAAAGTACAGGAATTTTGAAATTTCAGCAAGGGGTGTATAGTTATGTCCAGACCTGGTGTCCTCTGAAGGGGTTTTGTGGCTCCAGGAAACATGAAGTGGGCAGTGGAAAGTGCAGTACTGGGCGAGTTCTGAGCCTGGAGTGGAGGGTGTCATAAGGAGGTTCTTATCTTATCTGCAGGCATGGACCTGTGGAACGCAGCCTGGGGCTGATTTCTCTGAGGTACCTTCTCATTTATTCCTCTCCAAGTATGGCCTGAGGATCACACCAGCAGGGGCAGTTGCACCTTGGCCCTGGGCTTTAGTCTGCATGGCCAAAGGAGTCACACCAAATGCCTACCCTGAGGTCTGCAACCTCACAGTTGGTCCACACCACCTGTAGAGGGGTCCTCGCCCCAAGTCCTGGCATGGATCAGACAGGGTGCCCTTGGGGCAGGTGTTGGCACACTGGCTTCTTGCCCAAATGCAGCCATGCTGCACCGATGACAGTCTTGTGTTTGTCCTTTCAGAACATCTGGCCTTTCCCCTCCTCTACAGATACCCTGTGTTGGGCTACCTGCGTCTTTGCAGGGTCTGGCCTCCCACTGGTTGGTTGTTCCTGCATCTCTCATGAGCAGGTTGTCCTTGCAGAGGGGTCTGATTAGACTGCTTGGGGACACGCTCCCCCATCAGTAGGACGTGGCAGCAGGCCACCCAGTAAGCTGTCTGTGTTCAGGAGGGCAGCCGGCTGGTGTGGATGACGAGAAAGCACCCCCCACGGCTGCTGTGTGATTCTGAGTCAGAATCTAGTCCAGGGCTGACATCACTGGTGCACACACCCCAGGAGACTCATACAACAGGTTAGGGGCCATAGAGAACCACAGGCACAGTCGCTGACCTCTTGCATCCTAATGTGGTGACTAGTGGTCTGTCCTCAAGGTGGATGGGTGATGCTGAGAGTGGGAGGTCACTCCCAAAGCAGCAGAACTATGTCAGCAATTAGGAATGTCAACTGGGGAAGAAAGGAGGGCTTCACGGTGAGACAGCCTCTGTGGGTCATCCAGGCTTCTCCCTGTGCCATCAAGCCACGACCCAGCACCCCCAGTGCTGTTCCTTTCCAGGTGTGCTTTGTGTTCCTTGCAGCCCCTGGAGTGAAATACTAGGTGGCACTGTCTCAGTGCCTGTGGTGTAGCAGAGTGCTGTCCTCTGCTGCATGGATGTGGGTGTGGGCATGTCTGTCCAGCCTCCCACCTCCCTGCCAGGAGGCCCTGAGAATTGAGCCAGGTGCCTGCAGAGCAACACCAGTCAGCATGGAGGAAGGTTGTGCCGGCCGCAGGAGTCCAGAGGAGCTCCTCACCACAGGCCATGCACTAAGAAATTGTAGATGGATGACAAATTTCTGGAAAAGGTAGAATTTTCAATCTTCAATAATGAGAGCACTCAGGAGAAAGCTGCCACGGTCCATCTGGAATGCAATGCAGACCCAGTGGTGTGGGTCAGAAGCAGGCTCCACATCCTGCAGCCCTGGTTCTCAGGAGCCCACTGGGGGCGAGGTACCTGTGAGGCACTGTAGTGGTGGCCCATGCCCCGATGCTAGAAGCAGGCTACTCCCTGTGCATATTAATGGGGGACCAAGTGCTGTTCGTCCCACTGTCTGGGGTCATCACATGATAGTGAATAAGTTTCCTGCACAGTAGCATTTGTGGCCATGGCAATGCTAGAGGTTCCTTTAGTTCTTGAAAGTAAATTTAGTAATGAAGGAAAATAATTCCTCTCCTTGTTCCCTTTTTGTGTGTGTGTGTGTGTGAGAGAGAGAGAGAACCCTGGAATGAGTTCAGACTATTACAGATTATTAAAACATAGTTTGCCCCATACAGCTCATTTGCTGCCACTTTTCTTCCCGCCTGACAAGACCTGAGGCGTTCCACACACTTACTTGCCCTCTAGCAGCTGTGGCGCTTTTCAGTGCCTGTGGTTCAGTTTGTACAGAAGTGATTTGTTTCGCATGAAAGCACACTGTCTTGACCCTTGCTGTGGCGCTAGCAGGGCTTCCTGACCAGTTCTGGGTTTTGTGTCTTGGGTTCTGCGCTGCCTCTGCCCATGTTTAGTGGTCTTGCTGCTGGTTCACACCTCTCAGGGCAGGTGGGGAGGAGACAGGCCTGGTACGTTGCCTGTCAACTGCTCTGATGTGGAGTCCTAAATCTGACTGAAATCATGGTGTTGGGGTGGCCTATGGGTCTGTTGTGCTCTGTTCCCACTTCCACGACTGATGTTGGCTATATGATCATGGGAAACAGATGAAGTGGAGGAGCATGCGGTAGGCAGCTGGCTTAGGCTGTGCGTGTGGCCACATGGCCAGTCTTCCTGGCCCCAGCTGATCTCTGGTGCTGTGGCCCGTTGCCCTTACAGTCCCACCTGTGCTTCCCCCATGAAGGTCATGAAACGTGTGCGAACGGAGCAGCTCCAGACGGCAGTGTCCTGCTACCTCAAACGCCGGCAGTACGTGGACTCCGATGGCCCCCTGAAACAAAGCCTGCGGCTGTCACAGAGTGCAGAGGAGATGGCGGCCAACCTCTCAGGTGATGCTGGGCCCCTGCAGGTGGCCTAGAGCCGGGCTCCTCTGCTTGTAGATGCTTTACCTGTACCTGCTGGTCTGTACAGCCTCTTTGCCCCCCACTCCAAAACCCTGAGGGCCAGGTCCCCTCCACTGGCGAGAAGTGTTTTGTAGGGCGAATGAGCACTTTGAGGACAGTGGTTTTTAAAAGATCTTTCTGTGTACAACCAGAGACTTGGAATGTTGTGCTCTATTTGCGTACAATGAATTGAAATGCATSTGTTGTCATGTATAATTAAGTAGAACAAATTTCAAAAAATGGAGGAAAAAATCAACCTCAACAACTTAGTGAGACCCTAAGCAACTTAACGAGACCTTGTCTCTAAATAAAATGTAAAAAGGGCAGGGGATGTGGCTCAGTGGTTAAGTGCCCCTATACCAAATCCCCAGTACAGAAAAACAAACAAACTTAACTAATATACAAAACCATAAAAGTTGTGCATATTAATGGGGGACCAAGTGCTGTTTTGTAATGTTTAGGGCTGGGGTGTAGCTCAGTGGTAGAGCACTTATCTAGCATGCATAAAAAAGTCTTATTGTTCTGAAATCAGGTTCTGTAGAAAAACCTGTCCTCCACCTGGAATAGCAAGTGGTGATTGCTCAATTTGAGTTTAGGCTTCTCTGTGATGYGACTTTCTCGGCTGAGTCCCTGCACAGTGCTGGGGCTGGGGGTGTGGGCCAAGGGCCTGGTGGCTATGTGGAGGTGGAGCAGGAGCAGCACCTTCTCTCTCTCTTCCTGTACTTTTGCTCTTACAGACCCCATCCCCACCTTCCATCCCTGCTCCCCTCACTCTGCTGTCAGCACCTGGCCTCCCTGCTTCAAGGGTGGGTTGACTTTGCTACAGGAAGGAGATGGGATGGTGAAACCCAAGGACATCCTCAGGCAGGTTCCTCGCTCCCTCTGAGGCTCTCTCGGGCTCAGGGATCTTTAGACTGTCATCCTGGACAAGATGGAGCCAGGTGCTGGTGTGGTGCAGATTAAGGGGCCTGGTCTCCTGGAGCAGCCAGAGTTGCCCTCTCCTGTGGCTGTGGTGCAGGTGATGGAGAGCAGACAGTGCTGCCTGATTCTAGCCTGAGATAAGAGGAGAGTGCTATTTGGGGAAGGAGAACTAAACATGTAGTAGTGGAAAGGAGAACTTGGCAGAGGACTGAAAATCAAGGAGGCCTCCAAGGAAGTGAAAAGACCCCCCACTGCCTGCACTACTACATGCTGTAGCATGGGAAACTCATAGACCCGGCATTTCTAGATGTGCCTTAGCAACGTGACAGGCTGTCCTCTTCCCTCTCATGGGTCCTGTGCTCTCTGCCTTTCTATTCCTCTGCCCTTAAAGTARGGTGTCAGGAGGGAGGGGGCAGACAGGTCAGCAGCACACTGGTGGTCACCTATGGACTGCCTGTGCCGCTGGGACAGCCCAGCACCTCCCCTGGCCCTCCACCTGTCCTGCTATTAATCTCCTTCCTGCCTTTCTCTTTTCCTCCTCAGTCCAGTCTGAATCTGGTTGTGTCAACATAGTGTCTGCAGCCCCTTGCCAGGCAGAGCCCCAGCAGTATGAAGTACAGTTCGGACGGCTGAGGAATTTTCTCACTGGTGAGTGCTCAGTTGTGGGAACCTTTCCTAAGATAGAGCAGTGCAAATTTTTCTCGGAGCTTGTCATATAGTGGGCACAGTGTTGGGACTGTGTGCAGACAAGCCTCATGGAATTGACAAGGGAGTTGAAGTTCTTGAGGCTAAAGTTCACAGAGGCCAGAAGAGAGCTCAGGTGCTTGTTCTGTCTTGCCACAGCCCTCAGCACAGGGATGTGATGTGTGCTGAGTAGCTCCAAGCAGAAGTCCAGCATGGGGAACGCCCCTAGTTATTGTGCCAGTCACAGCACGTCTTGAAGTGGTCTCTGTCCTGTGTTTCCAAAAGTGGGAGACTGCAGTCCTCCTGAATCAGCAGGGGCTGGATGCTCACAGGGACAAGTGACCTCTGTAATGCAAGTCGATAGACGGGTATTCCATCTGCTCCTTTATCACCATGAGGTCAACTCAATGTAGCCACTGTTGAAAAACGAGTCACTTAACCTGTCTGGGACAGAGGCAGTTGAAGGCTGAACCTGCGCGTCCCTACAACCTTAGGTGCCTGGAGCCCTTGAGGTGCTAGGAGGTGGCAACAGAGAAAGCGGTGAGCAGCTGGTGTCATCTGTCGTGTAACTTCTGTGCAGAGCCCCTTGTAGAAAGTGTGAGCCTGCTCCACCCTTGAACCACCTTTGGTTTAAAACTTGGAGTGTTTTTTTTTTTAAGTGCTAGGGATTGAACTCAGGGGCACTGGCCCACTGAGCCACATCCCCAGCTCTATTTTGTATTTTATTTAGAGACAGATTTCACTGAGTTGCTTAGTGCCTCGATTTTGCTGAGTATGGTTTTGAACTCGTAATCCTCCTGCCTCGGCCTCCTGAGCATTACTGGCTTGTGCCACCGTGCCTGGCACTTGTTCTATTTTTATTTGAACGATCCACGTGTTAATAATTTTTAATGCGCAACTAATAAAAAAAATAATAATAATTTTTAATGGTAACGATGTGTTTGAGGAGACCCACAAATAAAATGATGCCCCTGGATGTATATATGCGTAGATTATCCTAGTTTTCTTTGCATAATTTATGTACACCCTAAAAGCCCTAGGACCAACAAATCTGGCCACTACCTCTGTCACTGTGCCCATGGCTGTCACTTCCCAAGCCTCCCACTCCTCCACATCTTCTGTGGCTGCTGGCATGAATGACACCTGCCCTAGGCAGCCTCCTCTGATGACCCCAATAAGCATGTTCTGCTCACACGCCCTGCAGTGGGCCCACGCCTCAGTATAGTCATCCTGGCTTGGCATGAGCTGGTGCTATTGCTCTTCCGCAGGGAGACACGGGTGGAAGAAGGCCAGGTGCCCCCTATGGAGAGGAGCTCATCAGAGTGAAAACATCACTCAGGAATAGGGTCTATGGTGGGAGTGCCTCACCCTCCCCAGGTCCTGCATCTCTGCAGGACTTGCTGGAAGTCAGGCAGGATTGGGGCTTCTGTTCCTGTAGTTGGTACATAAAGCTCATTGCAAATTGCAATAGTTAAAGAAGCATCAGAATCTGCATCAGCTGGATTCCCAAAAAAGCAGAACTAACAGGATATGCAGAGAGGTGTCGTCTCAGGCAGTGCTAGGGGTCCAGCGACAGCTGGAGTTGTGATCAGAATTCCTTCCTGGAGCACCTGGGTTCTTTTCTATTGAGGCCTTCACTCACGTTGTGGAGGGCTGTTGCTTGAAGTCTGTTTAGCTGTTAAGTCAGCTGACTTAGAAGTTACTTGCTTGCGAAAAATGCCTCCACAGCAGCAGTCTAGAATAATGTCTGACCAAACGTTYGGTGCTGTGGCTCAGCCAGCTGGACACACAGATTCACTCCACCTCGCACCTGCGTGCTGTGGGTGGCCTCCAGCATGCTCCCTCTCTAGAGAAGCAGCCTTTCAAGAGCTAAGCAGGAGAAACAGGAGGTGGGGACAGTCACATGCCTGCAGCTGGCCACAGCCTGTGGGCTGAGCCAGGCCTGTTGCCAGGAGGGGCTATGCTGAGCATGCTCCACCTGCACTGGGCTGTGGTTTTCACAGGCTGATGGGACAACCTCACCAAGAGACACAGGATGACTTCAGCCACATAGTCTTCCTTGCCCTACGTGGGGCAGCTGTCCAGCTCCCCTGGGCAGTGGTGCTGTGTCCTGACCAGCCAGAGGCTCTGAGCTTCACCTGTGGGCCAGCAGCACAGTGGTCAGGCATCTCACCCCGGGCAATGGGGGCGTTTGTTGTCATTGTAGACAGTGGTCTCTCTGTGAAGGAGGGGACGGCTGCCTACACCACATCTGGCACTGTTCCCTGTCTTTTGGGTGGTGGACATTCGGAGGGAACTGTGGAGATTGCTGTTGCCAGGTGAGGCAGGTGGATTCTCCCACTCAGCATGCCTGCTTGTGCCAAGGAAAGGCCTGCAGGGCACGGCGCTGAGTTGGAATGCTGTGTGATCCTGCATGTGACCCTAACACCTGCCGTGTCTGTACAAACCCAGACTCACTCAGATGAGGACAAATAAAGTCAAAGTAGTCAGCAGAGCTCAAAGTACAGCAAGCAGCTGGATTTTACTGCCATTGTGCCTGTGTCCATGTGGTCCTGGTGGCCGTGCAGCCATACTGCTGCCCTACTTTCTCGCTTTGCTGCCCAGCCTGACAGCATGAGCACTTAGTATCTCACAACTCTGGTCTCGTTATCCTGTGAAAGTTTTCTTCAACCTTCTTAGTCATGTAGTGTCCCAGTAGTAAGTCTCAGTGTCTCAGTAGTAAAGTGAGTGGTGTGGTCCTAATGGCATCAGAGTGTCTCATTTGTAAATTACCATTGAAAAAGCATTAGATTTTATGGCACACATCCCAGTGACCCGGGAGGCTGGGCAGGAGGATCAAAGTTCAAAGCCAGCCTCACCATCTCAGTAAGACCCTGTCTCAAAACAAAAAGGGTTCAATTCCTAGTGCTGAAAAGAAAAAAATTATATTTTAACCAGCAATGTCTATATGAGGATGCATGTTGAGGGCCACAGCCGAGACAGGATGACGCAAGGCATTCTGCCAGAAGGGAGTGGTTGAGAGGTGAAGCCAGCGAGCCATTGAGATGTTGATGATTATGTTAAGCTGTGTATTCAGTTGTATATAGACCTGCCTCAGGCCCACCTCAGGTGCCTGCTACTTTGGAGTTCTCACAGGGATTCCTGGGGAGTTTGGGAAGGCCCGCGTGGGGGGTGTGTTTGTTCCTGCTTGAGTGGCTCTCTTGATTTGTGCCCAGCCAGACTGTGGCATTTGGTGGTACAGGAACGCCTGAAGCTTGGAGGTAAGTGAAATTGCTCGCCCCTGAGGGAAGGCGAGAGAATGGTAACCATTTAAAGATTCTTCTTTTGTTTTGTTTCACTTTGGTTTTAAGTTGCCAGTCCCTGGAGATGGGTGAGACAGAAGAAAAAAACTGCTCACATCTGAGGAAAAACTATTTGCCTCTGAGGAACAGATAGGGAGAAAGGACGGATGGACATTTCAGGAGGATAGAAAGGCGATATAATGAATTTTTGTTTCATTTTGTCTCGGTTTTGTTTTGCATTATCTTAATGAGGGRTATCTTCGTCATGGAATTAAAAATTAATAAGAACCAAACCGAAAGGGCGTTAAGTAAAGTGCTAGAGGAAGGAGGCATCTCAGTAAAATCAAGAACAGTTAGGGCATACGTTAAGACAATACAAAGGTGTAGCCCATGTTTCATTAAAGAGGGGTTGTTAAATATATCACAGCGGAACCATCATGGTGAAGATTTTAAAAAGATACAAAAGGAAAGCCCAGGAACTCTGCCAGTTGGCACATTACCATTGTTTGCTTAGTCTAGGAGAAGACACTTTAAATCAAGTAAAAGAGGAAGAGTTAGACAGGGGAAAAAAGTTTAGAGAAGGAGAGGCTATCCGGAGAGAAGTTACAATGGGAGGTTGCTACTAACACCTTTCTATCACCAGAGGGCTGCTAAAACCTTTCTATCACCAGAGGGCGTAAGTGTCCAACCAACAGCTCCACCTATGGAGACAACATATGCTGAGTGGCCCTCAACACACACACACACCACCCACCCCTAGTTGATAGATGAGATCCCCAGCAGGACCTCAAAGATTAGCATGCCCTGTATTGGAGGCGGACAGCAGGGGTCTATATACAACTAAATACATAGCTTAACATAACCATCAACATCTCAATGGTTCGCTAGAGTCACCTCTCAACCACTTCCTTCTAGCAGAATGCCATGCTTCATCCCTACTGGGTTGCGGCCCTCAACAGATGCAGACGGGTGGTTTTGGGTGTAGGTTGATTCAGTGTCAAGACACTTCAGTCTGCAGAGTGGGCATGTTGGATGCCCACTGAGTAGTGCTCTGGCCTCAGTCCAGCTGTGTGCAGCTAGAGTGCTTGGGGAAGAGGAGCTGGAGACCCATTTGCTCCCCAGAACTTCTTGCCACATGGCCATGTGAGTGTTGAATGAACTTGTGTTCATTGTTTTTAAGGTGATTGCCATCCATTTAGAATTCATTCTCCCAAAAATACATTTAGAGCCCTCRCACCTGGAGTTTCTGCTCTGAGAGACATGGGCCTCTGGGGGATTCTTTGCCCTAAGCCCGGGCATGTCCTCACACTCTGGGCCAGGCTGGGCCCTAGGGCCCTTGCTTTTCCTTCCTCCACCAGAAAAACTTTGAAGTCCAGAGTTCCACTGGGCTGCCGCATCAGGGCGCAGTTGGAGGAGAAGCAGTGTGGCAGGGCTCCCCAGCTGGGTCACCTTGTCTACTCGTGCTGCATCTTGAAAGCCCTCTCTCTTTCTCATTGCAGATTCTGATTCCCAGCACAGCCATGAAGTGATGCCCCTCCTCTACCCCCTCTTCGTCTACCTCCATCTCAACCTGGTCCAGAACAGCCCTAAGAGCACGGTGGAGAGTTTCTACAGCCGCTTTCATGGGATGTTCCTGCAGAACGCAGGCCAGAAAGAGGTTATTGAGCAGCTGCAGACCACACGGACGGTCCAGGACGTCCTGTCCGACTCCAGGCTCCGCGCATTCCTGGACAACAAGTACGTGGTCCGCCTGCCGGAAGACAGCTACAACTACCTGGTGCGCTACCTCCAGAGCGACAACAACACCGCACTGTGCAGGGTGCTGGCCGTCCACATCCACCTGGATGTGCAACCTGCCAAGAGGACAGACTACCAGCTCTATGCCAGTGGCGGCCCCCGTGGTGAGAGCGGTAGCCTGGAGCCCCCAGATGTGCCCAGCCCTCTCTTACAGAATGAGGCCGCCCTGGAGGTCCTGCAGGACAGCATTAAGCGTGTGAAGGACGGGCCTCCCTCCCTCACCACCATCTGCTTCTATGCCTTCTACAACACGGAGCAACTGCTCAACACCGCTGAGGTCTCCCCCGACAGCAGGCTGCTGGCTGCCGGGTTTGACAACTCCTGCATCAAGCTCTGGAGTCTACGGTCCAAGAAGTTGAAGGCGGAGCCCCACCAGGTGGACACATCTCGTATCCGCCTGGCTTGTGACACTCTGGAGGAGGAGGTAGGAGCACCACTCCCCACATGTCCTTCCTGACTGCTAATATCTGCCACACCTGGCAGAGCTCCCAGAGAGCAGACACCCCTGCTCCCGTCATACACAGAGCCAGTCTCATGCCACATGCCTTAGCCACCAAGTCCTGCCCATTCCCAGCCCAGGATTAGATGCCATTTCTCACAGTATTTTATAGCACTGTTAATCAGAGGTCAGTACCTACCCCTTCTGAAAGGTCGACGCCACCCGTGAGCATCATTGAAGACCTATTGCCGAAACTGGATGAGGCTGCGTCTGGGTGACCCTGAGCGTGTGTGGCAGTGCAGGTGGGCTGCGGGGCCAGGTCTGTACTTGTGCTGGGTAGCATCTCTCTCACAAGGCAGTACTGCTGTAGACACCACAGCACAGTAGAACGTGGCGTGGAGGGGTCCACCCTCTGACCCAGGCAGAGCCTACTTGCCCCTCAGGCAATGTGGCAGCTGTGGCCAAGCTGTTACTGCTTTGAGTTGGTGGTGAAAGGCCCAGGGCCAAGGTCCTGGTCACCATCATCACTACCTTAGGAGAGCATGGGACAGGGTGGTGTTGTCCGGTCACCACTGACCCAGGTGGCATGGCCTCAAAGTTCCTGGGTGGGAGTTCTGCACAACGTGGAGAGACTTAGCAGAGAAGTCACTCTGGGCACGTAGAGTTGCTATCAAAGACGTCAAGACCTCCTGGATACCTCGGGAGCCCCCTCCCGGCCATGAGGTTCTGAGGCAGTGCAGCAGTCTCCCGCCAAGAAGGGACTGGACCCCACGCTGCTCCCTGGTCTGCAGTGCCCTTAGTACACTTTTCACTGCTCTTGAATTTGAATTTTCAGACTTCCTCCATTGGAGCAGTTCCAGCTGCTGTTCACCTAGAGCTGAGAACCACTGCCCTCCACCACTTGAGGTTTTTTTTTTTTTTTTTTAAGAGAATTTAGCCTTTATTTTATTTATTTATTTATTTATTTTTATGTGGTGCAGAGGATTGAACCCTCTGCCTCACACATGCTAGGTAGGCACTCCACCACTGAGCTACAACCCCAGCCCGYGACTTAAGTTTTCTGTAAAGGAAAAAGAAAAACATTCCTGTGGAGCTTGGTGATGCCGGCTTTGTAGACAAATCTGGTGTTCGAAATTAACATAAAGGACAATGACTTGTGGGTTTTTAGGAGTCAGAGGATGTGTGTTTGAGGTCCAGGTTTAAAGATTARTGCGAGAAACTCCAGGAATAGGCAGGAATGATGGGTGATTGCAGCTGGGGTGGGGCAGGAAGCCCACAGCTGCGCATCCTCTAGTCCTGGTAGCTGAGCTGGGGCTGGGCTGCAGCAGTGGGAAGGAAGTGGTGTGGGGCAGAGCCTAGTTGTCGGGTGATAGGCAAGTGGGGGAGCAGGAGGGCACTCTGGGACACAGTGGGGTGTCTTGCCCACGTGCCTACCCTTACCGAAGGTGCTGCAGACGCTGCCTCTGCTTCACTGGGCTCAAGTGCCTCTAGCCAAGGAGCTGATGCTGAGGGCTTCCTGCTTGAGTTTTTGCACTCCACCTATTTGTCACGGTAGTTTGGGGAAGTGTCTGGTTTCTAACCAGGAGCATCTTGGGAGAAGCCAAGAATGATTTTGTTCTGGTAATTGTTTTTTAATATTTCTCCAGAGAGAACTTGGACTTGGCTTTCTCCTTTTAGAATTTATAATTAAAAGTAAGGCTTGTACTATAAGGGTCTCCAGCTCACATGCCCTTGGAAGCCAATAGGTAAAAGTCAAGGTGAAGCCCTGAAGCTGTAGATAGGTAATAAGAAGAGAAAACCATGGAAACCAGGTTACAAAGCCAGCACGCGGCCTCTGCTTTGCTCTTTCTGACGCGCAGTCATTGTTGCATGAATTAGTGGACTTGAGGTTCTGATGATAGGCCTGAAAGTGTACCGACCTAGCAGTCCCATTTCTGTGTGTATACCAGGGAAGGTGAAGACGTAAATCCTCCGAGAACTGGTGTAAGAACCTTCATAGCTTTGTTCATGGCAGCCAAAGAAAGAGGCTGCAGCCCAGACACAGGGCATGGCTACCCCACTGGGAAAGCCAGGGCACCACAAACCTGCAAGATGAGCCTGGAAGACTCATCTCATGTGAAAGAAATGGCCAGTGGGGAAAAGCATGTTCCCATCTCCCCGTGATAGGAGCTTGGAGCTTGGCAGTCACATGGGAGACGTTGTGCAGGGTTGCTGGCACACAGAGGACCGGTTGACCAGGCCAGGCAGGGTTTCTAGATGAGGCCGTGGCAGTCTTGGCAGGTAGTAGTGATGGCCACATGTGCACAGAACCCTGGTGCTCTATTTTTCAGAAATGTGGATCTGACAGTCTGGGTTCTCAGCTTAGAGGTTGACAGCAGGACTAGTGTGCAGCCTGGTTCCAGGTGCTTCCCAGCAAGCACAAGGCCCTGGCTTCAACCCCTAGTACCACAAGAAAATTCTAAATAACAATCATCATAATAAGACAATAACCAAAACTCTCATGTGTATGTCAATCGTCTCTAGGCAAAAAGGGTCTCATGACAATCTGCAGCACTGGCCCATTCCTCGGTTCCCCACTTGGCAGTGCCCGTGTGGCTGTGAAACTGTACGATTGGCCAGGCAGGGTCTGCTCCCCAGGGCCATGTGCCCAGGGTAAGACCTCTGCTCTCTGAGACCTCCATTCTCTGCCTGTGTTCCATAGGACACCAGGCAGAACCACGCCTGCCTCCAGTCCTTGCTGGCCACAGGGCAAGGCTGCAGACTCCAGGCTGGGGTTGCCAGCATAGCACTTCTGCACAGTTTTTCAGGCCTGGGGACTCCTGCTCTGCCCCACCGTCCTTGAATTTGAAAAGTAAAGAGGTCAGAGTTGCAATCAGCCCTGTAATTTATACCTAAAACTGTCCCTTAGGTCTGCAGTGGGCACATGATATGAGCCCTATACCTGAGTGGTCTATTAGCTGCTTTAGAAAAGGAAAAAGTGTCAGAATCCATTTTAACAGTATTTTATTTGATCCAGCATGAACAGAATGTCATAGTCCAATTGTGTTGGCATCATGAAGCCATCAGTGAAACAGTGGTCTCTTCCCATTCTAGTCTCGGGAGCCACGAGCCACGGGCACATGTAGGCATCATTGCTGCCGCAGGTCAGGCAGCCATGGACTCTTGTTTGGTGGGCTTGCCCCATCTCACTCCTCACAGGCCCCACCACAGGTGATGCTGCCGGCTGCAGTGCAGACCCCAGGAATGCGTCTGCCCCAGGAGACATAAGTGTGAGTCATGGCCCCATTGCCAGTGCAGGATTAGACAGCCTGGGCAGCTGTGGCCTAGGAGGGGCCAGCAATCCACAGCCCCCAGTGCCTGAGACGATGTGAGGGCCCACCGTGCTTGGTCCCTTAACCTTTAGATCTCCATCTGTTGTGAAGTTCCCAGTGTGCATAGTGTAGCTGATTATTGTATGAAAAACTACAAGCTGACACTTGTGCTTGGGGTGCATGCCTGTTTACTGTGGGGTGCTGTGTCAACACTTTTGGGAGCCAGAGCCCCACCACTTGGGGCCATGGTCCTGGCAGAGGGCTGACAGTGATGGCTGGCAGGCATGTTCTGGTGCCTAGTTCCTGGCCTCTGCAGTCAGGCAGACATGTATCCAGGCCTGGGGCAGGCTGCCCAGTGCCTGCGCATTGTCTCTTAGGCATATGCTCAGTGCCCAATGAGGTGGAGACCCTCATGCCTTAGCCCACAGTCCATTCCCAAGGGTCTTTGCTCATGTGCCCAGGGTCTCCTTTGGTTCTACAGTCCTCAGCGACTTCCTTAGCGGGGCAGTGAGTCGTGCTTGGAATTTCTAAGTGTTGCTGTAACCCCTTGAGAGAGGAAATTACTGATATTCTGGGCAGCCTTTGGTAAAACGCTGAGCTCCCAAGAGCTGATGTGTTTTTAAACTGGAGTGTCTGCAGTTGCCATTGGAGCATTCTTGGACACCAGTGTTTATTCTTTTAACTTTCTAGAAACATGCACAGTGGAGACGTTCATTTCCACTTTCAAGCAGGAAAAAGAGCATCCTAAAAAACGCTTCTCAGGGTTGTGGCTCAGTGAGAGCACTTGCCTAGCATGTGTGAGGCACTGGGTTCAATTTCCAGCACCATGGGAAAATGTAAAGCCTTGAAGCAGGCTGTTCTCCGAGCATCGGGGCGGCCATCTCCTCTCCATCCTTGCACTAGGATGTGGCGGGGGATCCTGATGCTGACAGCTGCCCTCCTTGCCTCACACAGCCAGGCTTTGTTTTGGCTAAAGCCTCCAGAGTTGTGCCTGAGCCCTGAGGCGAGGCTTATGTGCTCCGGGTGCTTCCTCATCACTGACTCCCAGAGGCGGCAGAGCATAGGGAGCATAAAGCAGCCAGGGCTGATGAGGAGACAGTGTGTGGAGGGGGCCCTAAGGGCTGCCTCTGGATCAGACTTTGAGATGCGCAGCTGCTCTTACCCAGGAGTGAGCTGGGCTCAGTGCTCTTAGCAGGGACCCTGCTTCCCCCCATCCCCCCCTCCCTCCCCCCCGCCCCTGGCTGCAAGACCAGTTACTTGGTTAGTTGATAAGTGGTGAGAGCCACTCATCATCCCATCCCTGGCTGCCCTTCAGGGTCACAGCTTCRTCTCCCAGGAGCCCTGCGCGCTGCCTTTTCCTCTCCTGATCCTTGCCTACGAGACCACTAACCACCCTCTCGTATGTGTTTCCTTTCCTGCCACCCCCATGCCCAGGACACTGAGGACGATGGCATGGGCACAGAGATGAAGACGCTGCGGGGCCACTGCGGACCTGTATACAGCACGCGCTTCCTCGCAGATGGCTCAGGGCTGCTCTCTTGCTCTGAAGATATGTCCATCCGATACTGGGACCTGGGCAGCTTCAGCAACACTGTGCTGTACCAAGGGCATGCCTACCCGGTGTGGGACTTAGACGTCAGCCCCTACAGCCTGTACTTTGCCAGTGGGTCCCACGACCGCACCGCCAGGCTGTGGTCACTGGATCGGACGTACCCCCTGAGGATATACGCAGGTCACCTGGCAGATGTGGACTGTGTCAAGTTCCACCCGAACTCCAACTACCTGGCCACAGGCTCCACCGACAAAACTGTCCGGCTGTGGAGCGCCCAGCAGGGGAACTCTGTGCGGCTCTTCACAGGCCACCGCGGGCCCGTGCTGGCTGTTGCCTTCTCTCCCAACGGGAAGTACTTGGCCTCTGCAGGCGAGGACCAGMGGTTGAAGCTGTGGGACTTGGCCTCCGGGACCCTCTTCAAGGAGCTGAGAGGCCACACGGACAGCATCACCAGCCTCGCCTTCAGCCCAGACAGCGGCCTGGTGGCCTCTGCCTCCATGGACAACTCTGTGCGCGTCTGGGACATCAGGAGCGCCTGCGGCAGTGCGCCTGCCGACGGCTCCTCCAGTGAGCTGGTGGGTGTGTACACGGGGCCCATGAGCAGTGTCCTGGGTGTGCAGTTCATGGCCTGCAACCTCCTCCTGGTGACGGGGATCACACAGGAAAATCAGGAGCATTAGCCTTTTACCTTGGTTAGGGTGAACTGAGCCGTGGCAGAGGCCTCTGGCTGCAGCAGTGGACATGTGGAGACCGAATCACTGATGGACTGTGACAGAGCCCCTCCCTTCCTGCTGGGCCCCTACCACGCTGCAGGCCCATGGGGCTCATGGGGGGGCAGAGCATTGGTGCCCGAGTGTGGGCTGAGGACTGGCCCGCTCCCAGGGCGGCTGCTGGCCTTGAGGACCCCCAGGACCTCCTGCACCTCCCTCTCCTCCCTGACTGACCTGCCTTCTCCTGCCTGCAGGCTGCAGAGTGCCCACAGCAGCGGCACAGTGTCACTTGAGCTACCCCTCGCTTCTCGGGGGCTCCTTTTGGAGACTGGGGTGGGGCCTGGGGAGGGCTTATCCTGGCAGAGTCTTTCCTTTTCCTTCATGACAGAGAACCAGGATTTTTTTTATTATTGTTATTATAATTATTATTATTATTATTATTATTATTGAGAAGAGGAAACTAGCACTGGCAGAGGGGCCCTTCTCTGCTTTTATCTTTCAGGTTTGACTCTTAGCACAGGCTGTGATTCTGGAATTTTAAGGTTCAGGGAACTCAGAGAAGCTGGCAGCACAGTGTGTCGGGAGAAGGGAAGTCTCTGTGTGGCCTGGTGGTGCCAGGGACCCATTTCTGGAAGCAGGTGAGGGCGCTGAGCGCTGGCTCTGTAGTGGCCCTGGGAAGGGAAAGTCCTTTTCTCAGCTGCACTTTTGTCAGAAATTCTCCCCTAAAAAGAAAGATGATGGTGGGCTGGTGTGACTTGGCAGCAGACTGCTTGCCTAGCAGGCGTGAGGCCCCGGGTTTAGTCCCCAGCACCAGATAAAAAAAGATTATGATAAAAAACAATTTGGAATAAGTCACAAGACATGAAGTCTCCAAAGGACTGTTTGTCAAGGTAGCCCTCAGCATCTTCCTCCCAMGGTGGCCACTTTGCGCTGACCTGCCTTGTTTTGTCGCGCCCGCCCTGGGGGCATGCCAAGCCCAGCTATGCTGAGGGTAAAGCAAGTTCCGACGTGTGGGAAAAGGGTTAAATATTTCTGTTTTCTGAAAAGAGTTATTTTGTATTTTGTTTTCTATTAAAATGTATTTAGTTTCAACAAACAGTGTCTCCTCTTTTTGGCCTCGGCAAGGCAGGTGGCAGCCAGGACAGTCCCAGACACGGCATCGTATCTGTTCTTGGGTTCTTTGGGGTTCACTTCAGGTGCAGTTGCTCTCGGCCTTTGCCTGGATTGCTGGTGGCATTCCGCACTGTCCGCATCCTGCGAGGCACATATTCTACCACCTGTGGAGTCGTTGGGAAAGCCCTCCTTCCAGCTCCTTGAAAGACCCTCTGAAGATCTGTAAGGAGCATAAGAACCAGGTCATTTCATAAACTTGAACTTATAGACAATTCTGGATAAAGACTTAAGAGGTTTCTAAACGATGCCAAAATTGAAACCGATGCTAATAAGCCCTGATGGAGTAGATGCCCTGTAGTCAGAGGCTGGAGGCCCTGTTGCCTAGAGTTGTCTCAAATCAGCAGCTTCATTTGGTAGAGAATAATGTAGTTCCTTATCTATGCCTTGAGACATGATTCCTATGTTGAGACTTTCATAAAGTAGTACAGGTAAGTGAAATCATAAGGCTAGTTTCAGCTTTAAAAAAGTAGTGTACTTTGAAATGACACCAAGAATTGCCAAAAATATTGTAGGAAGACAGGAATGTTATTCCTGTTTTTTAGCTTGACCTGCACTGCTAATATCTGGGAGTGCTGTGATTCCTGAAGCCTGTCTGAGACATAAGGAGCATTCCACGCAGCGCAGCCCTTAGGCTGCYCTCATGTGCTCTGTGGGGAGAGCTGGAAGCTCCAGCAGATTCTGAGTGACAGAGATCTCGGGGGTATCTGTGGCTGAATTATTCTCAGAGGTGAAGTATCACTCTGTAGGAAGATTTTGTATGATTTTACCAATGCAGAATCTCCTGGTCAAGCACACAAACCACTAGGGCTGGTCAGGCTTCTCATCACCAGCACAACTAGTCCTGTGATGGGTTTGGGCTTTCAGGACCTGCAGAATGAGCCTGGCTCCCTTCTCTAGTGAACCCGCATTAACATTGGGTGATTGGCTTTACAGATTGCCCTTCATGACTACCCCAAACTTGTGCAAGTATTAAAAGGGGGGTGTGAGGGGCTGGGGATGTGGCTCAAGTGGTAGCGCTCTCGCCTGGCATGCGTGAGGCCCTGGATTCGATTCTCGGGACCACATTAAAATAAAAAATAAAGATATTGTGTCCATCTAAAACTAAAAAATAAAATACTAAAAAAAGTGTGTGTGTTTGTGTATCTTGGTGCCTATACAAGGTCACCCTGCAGAGTGTGCCTTCTCCCTCAGCAGCACCCAGGGGATGGTGGGGAGGAAGTGCTCAGGAGCTGTTATGTTATATCCTGTTATGAACTAAAATGGGAGCCTGGCAAGGTGTGCTTCCCTCCCAGGTGTCCTGGTGATCTTAGGAGGATAGTCCTGGACATAGAAATAAAAGTCCTTTAAGCTGGGTGTGGTGGCCAAGCCTGTGATCCCAGAGACTCAGGAGGCTGAGGCAGGAGGATTTCAAGTTCTCAGCAACTTGCTAAGTTTCTGTTTCAAAAAGTGAAAAGGACTGAGGGTGCAGCTCAGTAGTTGAGGGCTCTTGGGTTAATCCCTAGAATCAAACAAATGAAACTAAAAGCCTTCCAAAAAGGGAGTCTGTAAATATGATGCATCTCTGCAATGTGTGCCAGGGAGTGTCAGGACAACAGCCTCAGAGTGCTGTTTTAGTTTAGCAGAAGACCTCCTGAAAGGAAAAGGGAAAATCAAGGGAGCCTGAGAGCAGCACAGGAGCAGCCATCATGTGCTCAGAGCCCCACGTGTGCAAACACCAGGATTCCTCCTTTCATGTCTTGATTCATTTGTTAAAATGCCCTGGTTGCATTAAAAACGATGGGGTATGCAGACGTAATTCTGCACTACCCATTAGATAGAAGAAGCACACCTGTGCTGGCCACACCAACCATTGCCCCAGAGGCCTCCCCTGTGCCGGCCACGCCAGTCAGCCTCTTCAACACCCATGTTGCCCAGGCAACTCAAACTACTTGTAGGAATCAGGTTTCCATCCCAGAATGTCCAACGCACATGTTCTTGTCAGGGTGACTCACTGAAGGACAGTTTATCTGTGGGTAAACATTTCCTAAGAGAAGTGTCTTCATGTAGTTATGTGTGTTTCTGCTAGCACCGGATGTGTTAGCTGATGGCGATGCAGAGGTCGGCAAAGCCCAGGTGGCCTCTGCCTTGTGCTTACAGTGCCTGCAGGAACCTGATTTCACAAGTACGAGCTGACTGGAAGATCGACCCACCTTGGATCTGGAAAGGCTTCTGGGGAAGTACAACTCGGCAGGAGGCCAAAAGCAGCCGGGAGCAAGCTGAACACAGGCCAGGAAGAGGAGTCTAGCTTTTGTCCTTGGGATGAGGCCACCGAGATGCTACAGGACAGGGCCTGGTGCTGTCCAGTGTCCACCTTGGTGTGGCCAGGGATTCTGCTCCAGCATGGGGATGATTCTGTAGTGTTCCCTGAGCCTGTCGGAGCCAAGCCCTTAGCACAGATGATGGGGACTCCAACAGCCTGCAAAGATGTGGATCCTGCTGCCAGCCAGCAGGGATCTTGGGTATCAATGTTGCTCCCAGAGCCTCCAGCAAGCCTGAGGTCCTGGCTGACTCTGCAGCCCCAGAGGGGCCTTGAGGCAGGAAAGCCCAGCAGAGGCCCGATTCCTGCCCAGAGAGGACTGTGACATGAGGACTTCTTAAGCCAGGGAAGTTCCTTAAGCCAGGGAAGTTCGAGGTAACTCGTCCCGCAGTGGGTAAGCGCCCCACCTACCCTGCCTCACAGCTACTCTTCCAGACAATGAAAGGATTGCTGATTGTTTTAAGGGGCTTGCTGTAAGGGGCCCAGGTTGGAGGGTGTAAGAGTGAGGCAAGGAGGTGGTGATGGGCTGCTGGCCACGGTAGACCTGCGATCGTGCCAGCCCTCCAGGGACAGGCTTGCTAGACTTCCTGTGCACTGGACAGCAGGAGAAGAGGAGGACAAATGATGGCCTGGGATTTCTGGCATAAGCATCATCTGTTTTTGGTTTTGACAATGGGTGGTGCCCAGGGCCTGCACATGCTGAGCACTCCACCACTGAGCTGCACCTGCACCACTTACCCCAACCAACACTAGTGGCAGAGGAAGAGGATGTGATGTGAGAAAGGATCCAGGGTCTGGTGTTGTGTTTTGTGGGGAGTTCTTGGTGGTTTTTTTTGTATGAGATTTTTGTGTTCGTTTGGTCCTGGGGATTGAATCCAGGGTGCTTTACCACTGAGTCACACTCCAGCCCATTTTACTTACTTGAGTCAGGGTCTCACTAAGTTGCTGAGTTTGGCCTTGAACTTGTGATCCTCCTGCCTTAGGCTCCTGAGTCCCTATGATCACAGACATGCAGCACCATGCCCTGCTTGTTTTGTTTTTTTTTTTTGAGACAGGGTCTTAACGTTACCCAGGAGTGTATTGTGCCCCAGAGTTTGAGAGACCCTCCTCTTCAGCCTCCCAAGTAGCTGGGTCTACAGGTGCACACCACTGCACCCCCCCTGGGTTAGTGTTGGCTTCTTCAATTTGAGGTGCTTATGAGAGAACCCAGCCAATGTCCTGTGGGTGGTTGGACTGAGGTGCCTGGAGCCCGAGGGAGGCCTGGATGGACTCCAAGTGGTTTCTAGATGGAGGATTTTACTGGTTCACATGCTGGCAAGTCTGGAGGCCCACCTGTTCTGCAGTGGCTCTGTGCTCTGTGGCTGGCTTTGCCCATGGTTGCAAGGGGGCTCCTGGGACCACCTAGGGGAGACACCCTGCTCCATGGCTAGTGGCACCACTATCACCATCCTCACTCTAGGATCCCATATGAAGCTCCCAGAAACCCTTTGACTTCCCTTGACTTAGGTCTGCCCTTCAGAGGCCCACCCCAGTAACATCCCTGCTCCCAGTTGGGAAGGTGAACATCAGGTTGCTGCAGGAGTGGTTGGAAGGCCCTTGGACTTGGAAACCTTATGTGGCTGAAGATAAAAGCATGGGTGAGGTGAGCCTGGCTGTGTTTGGAAGCTCTCCAGAGTGCAGGAATGAGGTGAGCCTGGCTGTGCCTGGAAACTCTCCAAGGTGCAGGGATGAGGTGAGCCTGGGTGGAAACTCTCTAGGGTACAGGGTGAGGTGAGCCTGGCTGTGCTGGGAAACTCTCCAAGGAGCAGGGGTGAGGTGAGCCTGGCTGTGCCTGGAAACTCTCCAAAGTGCAGGGTGAGGTGAGGCTGGCTGTCCCTGGAAACTCTCCAGGATGCAGGGTGAGGTGAGCCTGGCTGTGTCTGGAAACACTCTAGGGTGCAGGGGTGAGAAGGTGAGCCTGGCTGTGCTTGGAAACTCCAGGATGCAGGGGTGAGAAGGTGAGCCTGGCTGTGTCTGGAAGCTCTCCAGGGTGCAGGGGTGAGGTGAGCCTGGCTGTGCCTGGACACTCTCCAGGGTGCAGGGTGAGATGAGCCTGGCTGTGCCTGGACACTCTCCAAGGTGCAGGGGTGAGGTGAGCCTGGCTGTGCCTGGAAGCTCTCCAGGGTGCAAGAATGAGGTGAGCCTGGCTGTGCCTGGAAACTCTCCAAGGTACAGGGGTGAGAAGGTGAGCCTGGCTGTGCTTGGAAACTC